CTACTCAAACATGGAGACAGAGCACAAAAAGCATTGCTTCAGACTGCAGTGGGATGTACAAGTCAGCTGCAAGTAAATGCTATGAAGAGAAGAGTGAATTAAACCCCGGGTCAGTCTGAAGACAAGCACAGCCCCATAGTAAGTTAGCATCCAGCTAAACATGCAGCATGCCAAGCCACTGAGATAGTACCACTGCGCTCACCAATGATGTCTGTTATTCCCTTTCCCTGTGAGATTCCACTTTTTGCTGCACACAGAATGGCTATATATGGTCTTTCTAAAGGAGAATAGTTTGTAGGTCACCTAGAGTCTAAAATAGATCGACTAGCAGTTTTTCTTGGCCTAGTGCTCTAGATTCCAAATTTCAGAACCTAAGAAACTCAAAGTTTAAGCAAAGGAATCCATTAAACAATCTGACATACACAACATTAAGACATTCCTGTCTCCTAAAACCTTTTATGCCTCTCATGCCCTTTCTATTTAGCCCTTGGCAACTCTGAATATAAAAATAACTGAGGACTAATGTTGAGAGTTCAGAATGATTTGGAGAAATAAAACAGGGAAAGGTCAGAGGATCAGTGCCAAAACAAATACGTGCTTTTTTGATCTTTACAGGTCTGTCTTTCCTTGTTCTTGTTGAGCCAGTGACAACCCAGTTGCAAGGGGCAAATTCTGAATACAATATGAACAAACAGAGGTGCTTTAACCACAGAATAGGAATAACTGAATCAGCACTTAACACAAAAATTAATTTAAAAGGTCTTATTTGTTTAGCTGAAGTTCATTTAAGACTACAAGATCCTATGGGCAGGTCACAAAACTAGTTGCACAGAGGACTTAGGAATTAGCAACAATCACTTTTACCCTACGCTTAGAACTTTGCAAGGAAGAGTTAATTTAGGATTTCTGATGTTGTTGTTGTTGTAGAGATGAGGTTTCACTGTGTTGTCCAAACTGGTCTCAAACTCCTGGGCTCAAGGGATCCTCCCAACTTGGCCCCCCAAAGCGCTGGATTATAGGCATGAGCCACCGTGACCGGCCCCTAATTTAGAATTTTTTCCCCCTTTTTTTTAACAATCCTTCTCCCTCAGCTTCCCAAAGTGTTGGAAAGGATTTTTAAATGGTTAAGAATTTTTAACCAACCTTGGCGTGAAAAAACTATTACATAAATCAAAATACTTAATACAAGCATAACTTGTTTACTGTGCTTCATTTTACTGTTTCACAGATACTGCATTTTTACAAATTGAAGGTTTCTGGCAACCCTGTGTGGAGTAAGTCTACCAGTGCCATTTTTCCAATAGCATGTGCTCACTTTGTATCTCTGTCATATATTGGTACTTCTCACAATATTTCAAACTTTTTCATTGTTATTATACCTGTTAATGTTGATCTGTGACCAGTGACCTTTGATGTTATTACTGTAACTATTTTGTGTTACGATCCACTTTCAAACTTAATCGATAACTGTGTGCGTTCTGACTGCTCCACTGACCAGCTGTTTCCTGATCTCTCTCCTTCCCCTCGGGCTTCTCTATTCCTTGGGACACAAAAACATTGCAATTAGGCCAATTAATAACCCTATATAACAGTCTCTACATGTTCAAGTGAAAGAAAGAGTCATGCGTCGCTCACTTTTAACAGAAGATGGAAATGATTAACCTTCGTGAAGAAGGCACATGTCAAATGTTGACACAGTCCGAAAACTAGGCTTCTTGAGCCAAACAGCCAAGTTGTGAATATGAAAGAAAGTTCTTGAAGGAAATTAAAAGTGCTATTCTACTGAACATATGAATGATAAGAAAGCAAAACAGCCTTATTGCTGATAAACAGACAGTCTGAATGGTCTGAATAGAAGATCAAACCAGCCACAACATTCTCTTAAGCCAAAACCTAATCCAGAATAAGGCCCTAATTATCTTTAATTTTATAAAGGCTGAGAAACAGGAGAAAACTGCAGGTGAAAAGGTTGAAGCCAGCTGAGGTTGGTTTATAAGGTTTAATGAAAGACATTGTCTTCATAACATAAAAGGGCAAGCTGAAGCAGTAAGTGCTAATGTAGAAGCTGTAGCAAGTTATCTAGAAGATCTAGCTAAACAGACAGCTACAATAAACAGTCAATTTTCACTGTACACACAAAAAAAAGCCTTATACTGAAAGAAGATGCCATCTAGGACTTTCACAACTAGAGAGAGGAAGTCAATGCCTGGCTTTAAAGCTTCAGAGGACAGGCTGACACTTGTTAGGGGCTAATGTAGCTGGTGATTTTAAGTTGAAGCCAATGTTCATTGACCATTCTGAAAATCTTAGCGCTCTTAAGAATTATACTAAATCTACCCTGCCTGTGCTCCATAAATAGAACAGCAAAGCCTGGATGATAGCACATCTGTTTACAGCATGGTTTACAGAATATTTCAAGCTCACTGTTGAGACCTTTCAAAGTATTACTGTTCATTGACAATGCACTTGGTTACCAAAGAGTTATGTTGAGAGGTATTAGGAGATACATGTTTTCATGACTGCTAACATCCATTCTGCAGCCCACGGATCAAGGAATAATTTTGACTTTGAAATCTTACTGTTTAAAAAATATACTTTGTAAAGCTAGTGATTCCTCTGATGGATCTGGCCAAAGAAAATTGAGAGCCTTCTGGAAAAGAGTATTCACCATTTTAGTTGCCATTAGAAACATTCATGATTCATGGGAGAAAGTCAAAATATCAATATCAACAGGAGTTTGGAAGAAATGGATTCCAACTCATGAATGACTTTCAGGGCTTCAAGACTTTAACAGAGGAAGTAACTGCAGATCTAGTGGAAACAGCAAGAGAATCAGAATTAGAAGTGGAGCCTGAGGAGCAATTACTGAATTACTGCAATCTCATGATTAAATTTGAATGGATGAGGAGTTGCTTCTTATGAACAAGCAATGAAAGAGGTTTATTGAGATGGACTCTATTTCCTGTTATGAACATTGTTGAAATTATAACAGAGGATTTAGAATATTACATAAACTTAGCTGACAAAGCAGCCGCAGAGTTTGAGAGGACTGATTCTAACTTTGAAAGAAGTTCCACTGTGGGTCCAATTCTATCAAACTGCATTGAGTGCTAAAGAGAACTCTTTTGTGAAAGGAAGAGTCAATAGATGGGGCAATATCATGTAGTACTTCAGTAGCAAATCAGTGCCAAACACTATTAAGCACTAAATGACTTAATGCGTTCCAGAATTTGGAGCCCACTCACTGACAGAGGAATCTTCAACATACTTGTTTCAAAAATTACAATTTAAAATTACTATATAAGGGTAAAAGTTTTCACTGTTTTGTTAAAATGAACAAGGGGATAAGTATATTTAAAGGTCTGGAGAAGGAAGTATTGCACAGGCATACAAAAGTTACCTGCAACTTAAGGCAGTATCAATATTGTTAAACCTTCAAAAATACTAGTTTCAAGGTTGTTTGGGTGTCTAACCCTTTCCCATTTGCTCCAATACTCACTAGCAGTGCTTGAGGCAACAGCACTTATTTTGAGATGACTTGGGGTTTGCAGCCCTAAGCTACCCTAAAAGTTTGCCATGAAACAGCTCACTTTTATTATTTTTGCATTGCTCTAGTATATTGATAATCTTTGGAAACAAATAATATTCTATTTACAGCATTCTATTTCTAGTAGTGATGTTTCATTTATAAAATACAGTAAATTTTTTTTTTTGTAATTCTTGTTAGGATTAGTGACAAGTTCTGTTTAGAAATAACTCCAACAAGAGTTTTTATACTTTATTTTCACAAAAACCAGTCACATTTGCTTCAGCCTCAAAAAGTGTATTTATGTAAAATTAAATGAACTCAGCAGTGAGCGGAACTTTTTTTTTTCTAAAGGGGAAATGGATTAAGCAGTCTAATTATATTAGACTTTTATTTATTAGAGTCTTCTTAGAAACACTAGTTAAAACACACTGTACCATGAGACAGATTGGTCAACTAACTGCAGAATAACAAGACCAGGAGTCTACAGACAACCGGTTATAAGCCTGATACCCATCAAGTACCCATTCTGCACAAAGTTGTTTCTGAAAACTGGAGGAATTCTTTAGCAAGAACATTAAAAGTCATGGTACATGGACTACTGTGAGTTCCCTTCACGAAGAATCTATACTGAATTACATCAAATTAGGATCCTACACTAATTTATATCAAATTGTAAAACCCTCACTACTGGAAAAGGGTTAGGGGATGATTAATACAGGATTTTTAGGGTTATAATGGGAACTGTCTTTCTATCTTTTTAAAAGGTAAACCTCAAGCCAAATTATTCCAAATTTAGAAACTAGTAATCTTTTTCTTTAGACAGAATTCATAAATATTAGCTACTTTATACTTAAAACTATACATTTTACAAATGAGTAGAAACAGGCTTCATCATTTTTTCCCAAAGATAAAGAATGATTGGCCCAAAATAATAATAATAATAATACATTAAAAACTCAATGCCCAAACAAGCATTACTTTTAAAGAGTACCTAGTAAATTTTTGTAATGTCAGTAGAGTTCTACAAAACAATAGTTAAAAAAAAGTTTTTCTCTCTGAATTCTGGAACAAGGGAAACATACTCTACTTCTCTACTACCTTTGTACCCCAAATGAATCCTCTCCTGTTTTAGGGATATGTATATTTATGACTCAAGAGCCAAACACCTGATCCAGTCATAGTTTAGTGAGAGATTCCTGTGGAATTAAAAATAATAAGCTGCTAATTAATACATAATAGGCATAATAATAAGAACACTTTATAGCTGTGTGACATTTTGCTACTTTTGCAAACTGCTTTTACATATAGCTGCCTGTGAAATTTTTAGAAGTTTCAGCTATGTGGCAGCTAGAAATTGCCACAGAAGGTGTCTGGGGAATGAATCATGAGTTGTTTGTGTTTCTTTCTTAAAACAAGAAAAAAAGCAACCTGTCTACACTTTTTGAAGATGCATAAAAAATTAGTTTCTCACCTTCTGGTATTTCTGCCACCATTTATATGAACACTGGTCTTCCCATGAGACAGGTTTTGAAGGAAATATCTGGCACTTATTGAGGGATTCTAACTGAACTGCAGACATGGTTGAAGGCAACACACATTCAGGAAGAATTTGCACTTTAGCTTGCTGGATTCTAAAGTAAAGAGAACCAAGCATGGTGTTCATTTTTAAGATCAATTAACTCAAACTATAAGTTTCTAAACGTTGATGATAATTTTAAATACTAAGATTTTCAAAATGTTCTTTTTAAAACATATTCATCAAATGGTGATGTTAAGACAAGAAATTTTCATAAAATAACGATTTCATCACTAATACCAAAGTTAATAATACCAAGGATAACCTAAAATACGGATATTCAATCTCACTGTGGAATAGAAAGGGAGATCTTTACATTGCAGATAAACAAACAGGGTCTATAAATTAAACACAGTTTTTAAAAAACATAACAACCAACTACTGCTTGACACTTCTAAATTAATTTCTTAGACACTCTTAGACACACCCCATCCCTTCTTTCCCCCTAATCCCTGTGCTGCTGAACTCTTATGCCTTTCCTTTCTCATGTCATCCAAACTGAGATGTAGGTAGAGAAAGGAAGAGAAAATCAAGAACAAATTAAATCAAGATGAATTAAAATAAGACTAGAGAATCACAGATATCCTTTCTATGTGCATTCCTTTTCCTACTAGCAAAAGTTGAACTTGAATATGCAAAGATCAAAATATTCATTATATATTTACTTACAAATTATCTAAACTTTCATGGTAATGTCATCATTTTCAAAATGCTATTTGAGAATATGAAAATTGCAAATATTTCATCACAAACCAATGCAAACAGGAAGGTTGGACCTATGAGCTATCTTCCTATGTGGCATTCCACCTTTTAGACGATAGCTTTTGAAAGGTACACTATGTAACTACATTCAAATGCTAGTACAAAATACTGATCAACAAAGTCAAATATATTCAAAGTCTCTGCTTCATTATTAGCTGTTGAAGTCTTCTAAAGTAGTCTTTCATAATAACCACTGATCACAAAATGTTATGAATGCTGATATTTTTACTTCTGTATTAAAAGAAAACAGCTAAGTGTGTCTGAAAATATCTAGGTTTAATTTAATAATATTAGACTCATTCTACTAGCTTAATTTCCTACCTGCAACCTCATTTGAAATACTCAGAAGTCAATGTCTACATGACTTTGGAAAATGTTAACAGATTTTACTATGTTCAAACAATGGTCAAATGTTTCTGTTTTCTTAAAGCCCATTAAAACCAAAACCTCAATTTTCCTTATTTGACCCATGAATACAAATAACTTGATAATTATATTTTTAAGGTAAAAATATATAGCATCCTATAGAGTTTTTTAGACCTCTAATTCTCCTTTAAAGTCATTAAGAATTACACTTTATGCAACTATTGTATAAGGTTTTATTTTATTTTATTATGATAAAACAATACTACTACTAAAACCCTGGCTTACAGATCCTGCTAATAACTAGTCTGCAGTACAAGCTTTCTGATCTGCCTTGGAGGATTAAGGAATGCTCTCTTTTATCCCTGTTAAACATGTCCATTGTCTGCCGCATAAACACAGGCTACTTCTCATCCCAGCAGCTGAGTTTTGTTTTTAACATAAGCTGGTTTTGTTTCTTCCCAACCTGTTTATAGCATTTGTTTTGTGATTACAGTAACAATTTATATACATGTTATAAAAAACCAGTGAAATATGAGTACAAAAATAAAATTGCTTCAAGGAACATTAAGTTGAGATATAAAAAACTGCTTTTGGCCATTGCCTTACTAGACTCTGGTGTGGCCAAGTGTTTATTAAGCTATGGCTGTTGCCATGTTTCCTGGCTTTGGCCCCTTCCCTACCTTGGGAATGGTGAATGTCCCCTTTCTTTCTCTCCCTCTCTCTAATTTGCTTTTTAAAGAGACTATATTTTCTAATCTAAAAAAAACTGCTTAGGTACAGACAACTCCAATAGTATAAAAACAATGCATAAATCTGGAAAAATTCTGCATTCAAATTGCCTTATGATTATTTTTAGAATCTCTCTTTAAAGAAAAACTAGAAGTATAAACTCCAGATAGATGATGCACATTGACAGTGCCAAAAATCTGCAGGTTCACTTCAAATATCAGAGAGAATGCCCCTTCCAAGTCTTGTCCAGCCCTGTCAATTTGATGGTAATCTTTACCAGAGTTAAATATCTATTCCTTTACTTGTTTTCAGAGTTAAAGATCTACTGCCATCTTGTGTTCAAAAGAGTTCCACAATCAAAAGTCACTGATGTCAATACAGTTTGAGAAATACACTTTTCCCCAAGCCAATTTTCCTTTATGGTTTCAGGGATAGTGTTACAAATAACCAAAACTGTATGAGGATAAGAAGTACTTTAAAAATTGAACTGTTACGAAAATTCAAAAACTAGTTTGCTAATTATCATAATACAGTGCTCTCAGGAGATCATTCATTCATTCATGTAACATTTATGGTCCTAAACGTAGAACATAAATCTCAGGCATTATTCTCAAGCAGCTTATCTATTGAGGGAGACAGACATACAATCCTATAAGGACAGTGCAGTGTGGTAAGGCTATGAGAGTTTAAACAATGTTCTAGGGAATACTAGGAGACAGCTTAATGCTCCAAGAGCTCTGGCAACCCTATCTCATATTCCTCTATGTTCTTTTGCTGCAAAAGGTTGTCTGACCCATCTATATTTTCATAATTCATGTGGAATGTCCACTATGTGAACAAAACAAAAAGTTCCTGTTCTCATGGTGTGCATTTTTTTAAGTTAAAAAAAACAAAACAAGAAAACCTACACAAATTCTAAACTTCCACATATTCAGAAGGCATCTGTGCAACACAGAGGTCTGATGAGATTTTCAGCGCTGGCTATAGATCAGAGACTGATTCACCAGGACTGGGAATACTCTGTATCTGTAAGACCTCTTATAAAGGTATCTGTCTTAATTTAAGAGGCCTCTGTTGAATGAAATTTCTCTGGTTCCACTGCCCTTCTGGTCCTAGAACCACTTTCACTAGAAATGGTGGAATGCAAGGAATCGTGGAGAAAATTGGTGCAGTCCCTTCATTTTCCACATCAGAAAGCTAAGTACTAAAAAAGTTAAGTAATTTGATTAAAGTCATAAAAGTAGTAGGTGATATGCTAGAGTTGAGAATAATTCCCTTAAGAGAGAACACCCAATGATCAAAGTAAATGCTTTGTTTTAATTTGTTTCCTTCTTTACTTAAGAAGATAAAGTAAGGTACACTGGATTTTTTTTAAGTGTTGTATTTCTTCAATTTGTGTAAAACCCTTGCTACAAGAGCTTGCCAAAAATGGATAACAGCTAAAACAGTACACTCAGGGAATTTCTAAACTTAAGGTACAGAGACAAGTACCTTATTATGCAAACAGCATTTCTGGATGATATAAAATCCACACGGAAATGGAGAGGTAAATGGCTTGTATGACTCAGATGGAGCAGTTTACAGGTATAACCAGTGTGGCTTTCAAATCTCAAGGAATGCTACAAACACCAGTTATTGCAATGAGCTCATAGACCTCTGGGGTTCCCACCCTTACACTCTATAAAGAGGTTTTCATTCCCAAAGAAGCCATGCCCCAAATCACACTTCCTTTTGGGTTCACATTATTGTTCTCAAACCTGAAGGGACATTAGAATCACCTGAAAATCATTTTTTAAAAGATGCTGCAGCCTCATCACTCTCTGGGGATGGGAGATGAGGTTGAAACTCAAGCTTCTATAGTTTTAAAAACTTCCCAGGTGATTCTGATGCACAGGAGGTTGGAAACCACTGGCCTATACCTTTGAAGGGAAAGAGAACAACTAGTTAAAAGTTACAAAATATAAAGGGTCAGTAGAATAGAAAAAGTATTAAGAAATCCATTTCATGATAAGATGTTCACAGAGCTTTAAGATATATGGTATTTCTTACCCATCTGACTGTGTTCTTAGCTCAAGGACTTTGAACCTTTGTCTTCCAACTGCTTTCACTTTCACTATCTCAATTCCAAAATCCTGTTCCTCTCGATAGGCATATATCTCTGCTGTTGTTCCAAACTGTGCTTCCCTTTCCTGTATATTACTTCCAAGATAAATTTTAAAAGGAAAGAGTTTTGAACATTTGACTTTTAAATATGCAAAGTGTGCAAAAGCAATACATATGGAAAAACAATTTATAGCAAACAACCATTACTGCAAAGCTAGTATAAGTCTATATATTTTAAAATCACATGGGGGCTATATGAATACAAGGAAGCTTCAAGAAGTACAATTAGAGTACTTTAGGAAAAGAATAGATTTCTAGTCACTGGAAATGATCTAGGACTTACAGGGTTTTAGACTCTCATTTCCTAAACCAAACATTTTTTCACTTTGTTAAACTATCATTTCTGCTGATTAGCAGCACGGTACTGAGGTGGGAACTTCCTCTATTTACTTCCTGCCTCTACTGCAGATTTCCTTCTTTGCCATGGGATACTAGAAGTTTAGCTTTAATGTACCAATGGTTTGTAATGATACAATTTATGGATTTTGAGAGTAAGTAAAAGTACAAACCACTCTTTTGGAAAAGTAATCTTTTACATTATATAGAAGCTTTATTTCTCTTTAAATAAAGGCAGTTCTTGGAACTAAGATTCTAGAAACGTTTTTCATTAAAAATATACATTTTTTTAAGTTGGAATCTCACTCTGTCACCCAGGCTGGAGTGCAGTGGCACGCTCATGGCCACCACAGCCTCAACCTGCTGGACTTAGGCGATCCTTTCACTTCAGCCTTCCAAGTAGTTGGAACTACAGGCCCGCACCCCCAGCTAACTTTTTTATTTATTGTAGACATAAGGTCTTGCTAAGTTGCCCAGGCTGGTCTTGAACTTGTAGGCTCAGGCAATCCTCTAACCTTGGCCTCCCAAAGTGCTGGAATTACAGGCTTAAGCCACAGTGCCTGGCCCTCGTTAAATATTAATGATTTAAAATTTTTAAATACCAGAAAGTTAAATTGTGTGTGAAGGTAAATGTCTGATTTAGATGGTAATGAAAATAACAAAAATACTCAAACTTGAACTATCAAACTTTTACTCATTAAAATTCTTTACCTCACACTCTTACCCAACCTCTCTTGCAAAATAATAGTCTCGTTTGGCTTCCACATTGACATCTGCTGCAACTACACATGAGAGGAAATGTATTAAACAAATTTACCCTAATATTTTACCTGTATGCAAGGACAGCAAAGGTTCTGTCTTTCTGAATTAAATTCCGCACCATACTGACTTCTTGAGGACGAGAAAGCTGAAGAGGTAATGTCTGTCCAGGAATCAGGATCATCATCACCTGTGGCAGAACTGGAATCACCTGACAGCTGTCATCATCATGCAAAGTCCTGCCATGAAATTCTTCCATATCAGCCCCTAGATACTATTTAAGAATATACATAGGTCCAGTGTCAGGATAGACAAGTAAATAAAAATACTAGCTCAACATACTAAAGAACAAATCAGATTACAAGAAATACAAACAAAGGGTTCAAATCTTCATTTAAATAATAAATTTAGTGTATAAGTATCCCATGTGAAAATCTAATTTTTAATCTAATTTTAACTCTTAGAAGTAAAATTTCTAATTTTTTATGAAGACTCTCACAAACACAACTCGAAAACATTTTTATCCAACGTATTTTATTTTCACCAAGGTAAGAAACATCTCTATGTCCAAATATCACTAGTACAAAATGTTAATATGTTAAATAACACCTTTGTACCTAGAATACAGAGAATAAGTAATAGCTTCATTACTACCAAAATCAGAAGGAAGGCAAAAATTCCTCAAGCAATTACACCATGATATAGAATTAAGCTGCTTATAAATTATAGTTATGGCCAGGCACTGCAGCTCAAGCCTGTAATCCCAGTACTTTGGTAGGCTGAGGTGAGGGGATTGCCTAAGCCCACGGGTTTGAGAACAGCCCGGGCAACTTGGTGAAACCTCATCTCTACAATAAATCAGAAAATTAGCTGGGCATGGTAATGCATGCCTGTAGTTCCAGCCACTTGGAAGGTTGAGGCGGGAGGATCACTTGAGCCCAGCAGGTCGACGCTGGGGTGGCCTTGAATGTGCCACTGTACTCCAGCCTGGGTGACAGAGTGAAACTCCAGCTCAAAAAAAAAAAAATTATAGTTATATGTTTATCTATTTGCAAATAGTCCATGTTCTCATTCACAATTTCTAATATGCAGTAACACTAAAAGTGGGTACTTTTTTTTAGAAACTTTTATCTACAGTTAAATGTATATCTATTATATTAGACCCATTGCTAAATTACATACTGTATGTGATGTTGGCAGACTGGTGTCAAAATTTATGATGTTTGGTTTTTTGGCCTCTTTGCTATCCTGGTCTTCAACTTCCATTTCAATTTCATCTTCTTCCTCATTCTCTGCTGTAAGAGTAGAATATTTTAAGGAAAAAAGGAAAACAAGATGAGTGAAAATGTCAAAGCTACATTCCCTTTCAAATGCATAATTCCTTCTTGAGAAAAGGGGTCTTTCTAAAACCTCAAGCATTTGGTAAGCTCTCCAGTACTGTGAAGAGGCAGCCAGAAGTATTGGCAGGGGGTAGTGCTGGGCTTTGTCACTAGTTGCCTTTTTCTTTTTCTTTTTTTTTTTTTTTGAGTTGGAGTCTCACTCTGTCGCCCAGACTGGAGTGCAGTGGCCGCTTCCGGCCACCTGCAGCCTCGACCTGCTGGGCTCTGGCGATCCTTCCGCCTCAGCCTTCCAAGTAGCCGGAATTACAGGCATGCGCTACCATGCCCAGCTGATTTTTTTGTTTATTGTAGAGATGAGGTCTCGCTGCCCAGGCAGGTCTCGAACCCGCGGGCTCAGGCAATCCACTCACCTCAGCCTCCCAAAGGCACGGGATTACAGGCTGAGCCACCGAGCCCGGCTACTAGTTGATTTTTCAACTTTTTATTTTAGAATAATTCAAGCTTATCATTTTATAGATGAGGAAACTAATTGTAACATCTTAGACGACTCATTCCACCTGACTAAACTTTAATTTCCTCATCTGCAGAATGATAGGTTTGAACAAGACAATCTTTAAGCTTCTTTCAAACTCTTAGTTTTAAAGAGTTCCTTCATATGAAAGAAAGAAAAGCAAGCAAAAAATATGTTAATTAAAATTGAAAAAAAGATATAATCTGGCAGAAAGAATGTCATAGCATTTTTCCATTGGCACCACTTCCCTGGCTATCACTACATTATTTTAAAATGAAATTTTTGTAATCATTTTCATTCAATTTTACTTTGTAATTTTAAATTTAAAAATAAAGTTGGAATGAAACATAAAACATTTTATTTTATTTTGTATTTTTTATGTTTTGAGTTGGAGTCTCACTCTGTCGCCCAGACTGAAGTACAGTGGCCACTCCCAGCCACCACAGCCTCGACCTGCTAGGCTCTGGCGATCCTTCCGCCTCAGCCTTCCGAGTAGCTGGAATTACAGGTGTGCGCTACCACACCCGGCTGATTTTTTTATTTATTGTAGAGATGAGGTCTCGCCGGCCCAGGCGGGTCTCGAGCCTGTGGGCTCAGGCAATCCACTCACCTCAGCCTCCCAAAGGCGCGGGATTACAGGCTGAGCCGCTGAGCCCAGCACATGAAACATTTAAAAAGAAATATCTTAGAAAGCTTTCTCCACATTTTTTAAATTATAAAAACTAAAGTGATCTATTTTAAAAACCAGATGTTAACATTGAAAACAATGAAAGTTAGAAAAAGTGGCCCGAGTGGTGGCTCACGCCTATAATCCCAGCACTTTTGGAGGCCAAGGTGAGAGGTTTGCCTGAGTTTACAGTTTTGAGACCAGCCTGAGCAACTTGATGAGACCTCATCTCTACAATAAATCAAAAAATTAGTCAGGTGTGGTGGTGTGTACCTGTAATTTCAGCTACTTGGAAGGCTGAGGCAGAAGGATCACCTGAGCCCATCAGGTTGAGGTTGTGGTGGCTATGAGCGTGCCACTGCACTCTAGCCTGGGCAACAGAGTGAGACTCCAACTCAAAAAAAAAAAAAAAAAAGTCACACAATATAGGTACTATTCTATTAAGTGGGAATCTGTCCTTTTCAAGCCAACTATTGGGTAAATTTGCAGTCCTAGACCAATGATTCTCAACCAGGGGTGATTTTGTTCTGCAGGGGATATAGGTTGAAACAACTAAGGAAGTCTTACTGGCATTTAGTGAGTAGAGGCCAGATGCAGCTAAATAACTTATAATACACATGACAGTCCCCACCCAAAGAACTATCCAGCCCAAAATGTCAAAAGTCCAGAGATTAGAAAACCTTGGCCTAGACTAACCATAAAGAATTATCTCATTTCTGACCTCATATTTCATGTATTTTTAAATGCCCCAAATAAACTTCTAAATAGACAAAATCTCATTACAAAATAATCATTTTTTTCCTTTGTGCATATCATTATTGAAATAAAACCACCTCCAGGCTAGGTCCCTGACAGAAATACAAATGTTTTTCAATGTGGTACCTGCCTTGGACTTTCTATTTATTCTTACAATCTCCAAGATATAAAAATGTGTCAATTTCCAAGATGCAAATGTTGTCAAAAAGGACATAATTTTTTTGACATTTGCAAGTAGTCAATAGTCTATCACTTCATACAGTTTTTTCCTTAGAACATGTAAATTTCACCAAAAGATAAATAACAAACCAAAATCTAAACTGATAAGAAAAATATTGTGAATCTAATTCTTTGCATTTACAATTCTGACAGCATGGCTCTCACTTGGCATGTGAGACCCATACTGTTACTATACTGCAGAAAGTTTGAAAGACATACTATTAGCTCAAAGGCTGAAATTAATATTTTAAAAAATTTACATTTTAACTCTTTGACTTCTCATCTCTAAATTATTTCCTTAGTAGCCTGTCTCATAAATATGGGTAAAATGCACTTTCCCCTACTCAGCTATGTTTATCTATTAATGTTTCAATTGGTCAGGATAGATTCTTCATATCTCAAATAGAAAGTTATTTCTTCAAAGAGGATTACTCTTCAAAATGATTCATACTACATGGAATTACGGAAAATCCAATGTTTCTCTACAAGTAAAACTCATATCTAACTTGAAAAGTATTATAGTTTTATCCACAATAGCTCTGGGCCCTTTCGCTTCTGATTTTTTCCTGAGAAAACACATGCTGACTGTACAGAGCTACCAGGGTGACTGATGACTCATCTCATGCAGAGGCGCCATGTAAATGCCAACAGAACATCAGTACCCTCCCTCTTCCATTCACCATTCTCCCTGAAACATTTGACACATACAGAGGGGGGTTGATGTTTCTAAAAAACAGATTTTCCATCAAAGGCTGGCATACCTTTATGTCAACTCATCTAGAATGGCTTCAAGAACAACCACTAACTCTGTGGCTTATTTTTATAGAAAAGTTCCCTCCAATATGGTGGTAAAATACTCAGGCTCTTTTAAGCAATGCTACTCCTAGTGGGTAAAATAGTATTCAAAGCATAGGTTTCCTTAGGCAACTACCTGGAATTGTTTCTTGGCAATCCACAGGGAGTTAAAACAACACGAACAATAAACCCTATCACACTGGCAAAAGATGCACGATCCCCAATAATCTAGACCCAACCTTTTATCTTCCACAATCCTAAGTGTATGCTTTTGGATATCTTCAGATTTCCTTCATAAGCCTTTGCCCCCAAATCCTTTGACCTCTGAACAATTCCTCTTTCTGAAGAACCATATAGCAGTCATTTCTCTGCTCTTAAATCACCTGCCTCTACTAGTTACATTCTCGGTAGCCTCACCTAGACTGTAAACCTCAGGTATCAGATTGTGTATCATCCTATTTTCATCCCCACAACACCTAACTTAAGCCTGGCATGTAGTGAAGGGACTCGGGTAATACATCTCACTTCGAATGATACACCTCTTGGAAAGCATCTCAATCTACAGTATTCCATGAAAGCTTGTAAAATCCATGCTTTTCCTGCTCAGTATCCCAACACAAGGCCAAGGTCTACAAATTTCACAGAACATATAGAAAAAAGAAAATTAAGCATTTTTCTTCATACATGCCAGAGAAAACAGACCAAACAATGAAGAAAAATCAAACAGAAGTGGTTTACAGATGCTGACAAAAATAAACGGGGTTGGAGTCCTGGCTCTGCAACCCTGTGACCTTGGGCAAGTCACTGAACTAATCTGCCCACCCACGTCTCGCCTTAATTCGAAAAGTAACGCTGGGAAGGCGTAAAAGCCGAAGTGCACTCAAAGCGCCTGCTGCAGTGCCCGTAACGTGGCCAGTGCTTAGCTGTCACTTATTGAAAGAGTTCAGGAAAAGAAACAGTTGCTGCCCAGATCCGGCCCCCCAGTTTCAAAGCATTTCCTTGGAACTACACTCCGACACAGGGAGGATGGAGAGGACGGGGCCCGTGTCCTTGGGAGCGAACGACCCCCGCCCCCAACACCCTAGCCCACAGCTCGGGGCGACCGAGCAGGGGAGGAAGGGCTTGGTAGCTGACAGCGGCCGACGTGAAGCCGCTTCCGGGTGCGGCCACTCAGGGCCGGCGAGTCTTGGCGCCCCCGGGCCTCCTCCCCGGCCCCCCGCGGGGATGGCTGTTCCGGGCCTCGCCCCCTCCCGCCACAGGGGAACAGCCCCGGGCGGTTACCAGGCAAAAGCGGCAAGTGGTTGCCCATGTTGCGCGCAGCGTCCGGATGGTCTCCCTCGCCGGCCATGTCTGTTTACCCGCAAAGGAGCCTGGGACAGGGCGGTGCCAGGGACGCCAGGTGAAGGTCCGCGTCAGGGCACCGCCGCGCGTGGGGCCACAGCGCCCCCTGGCGGCTCCAGAGCGGCAGTCGGCGGCGCCGGCCGCAGCCTGGAAATGATGGCCAAGGTGGGAGGAACAATAACCCGACAGGGCTCAAGGCGGACACAGAATGCTGTCGGTTGCTATCCACAACTTAGTGCCACCGTGCACGTACTGAGCCCTCACCGTGTTCCAGGCCTTGGCATGATTTATTTAATCATGGAATGCGACATATGGAGGAACTGAGGCTCAGAGTCTTCAGTCTCCACCTTGTTCTTAAACGAAGGGGGAAGGGAGCAAATAGGAATCTGTTTATACAGCATTCGCTTCAGTTCTTTTAAAAAGAGGCACTTAAAGGCTATAGTACTGAGTGATTTGTCACAGAAACAAAGAACCGAGTATCGCAAGTTCTTACTCATAAGCGGACCTTGAATAACGATCATAATACTATAAGAAAGGGATTGGCAGTAGTGGGAAACTGTGAGTGGGGGGATGGGGGGAGGGCGGAAGGGGAGTGGAGGGGGGGTGGGGCGGCAGACCTCATCAACAAGGGCACCTGCATAATGAACATTTGTATACCTAACCCTGAGTTGTACCCCACATTTTTAAAATAAAAAAATTTTTTAAAAAGAGGTATGTGTATGAAGGCTAGGAAACTGCATCAGTTATTCCGAGGGTGATTGATTTATTTCTGATCTCTGTTCAACAGTTTCAATAGTTTCCAGGTACATATATTCCAAACTTAACATATATTAATCAGATACAAATACTTGAAATGATCATTGCCCAGAATGGAAAAAGTCCTACAATTGACTGGTAAGCAAAATTGTCAAAGTGAAAATAGCCTATTCATTGACTTCAACTAAGTAAAAACAAGTCACTACATGGCAAAAAGAAAAGACTGCAAAAAAGAAGATATTTCTGTTATAAGGGTGGGATTGTGACTGGCAAGATATTTGTTTTGGAGGGTGGACACACATTTTCTTAGTCTTTTTAGCATTTTTTTTTTCAGCAAAAGAGAAAATGAAAAATTATTAAATGAAATAAAACATGGTGTGATGGGTGGAAGGTGAGAGAAGGAAGCAGCATTACTCTAGAGAAAACTCATGAATCTGAGATTTTAAAAATGCTTTTCAGAAAACTCACCTCACTGAAAAGTTACAAGCTGCAAAACTCCTTGTGACAGAGGCTCATGAATCAATTCGGTGACATTCTGCCTTCCGTCCCAGAATCACTGGCCTCAGTTTATGCATTTTCAAAATTAGAATGGACCAAATAGTTTGCATATTTGTTCTGGTTAGTAATATCTGCAATATTAATGATAGCATCACCTTTTACAATTAGGTTAATAACAATTACATATATTATTGTGCTGAGTTAATGGAGTTAAGATCACTCTAATCAATTGAAGAAAGATCATTTTATGCCAGAATGTCAGAGAGGGTATGGCTGGTGTGAGAGAGAGAAAGAGAGAGAGAGAGAGAGAGAGAGAGGAGAACACAAGCAAGCAAGCTACGTGTGTGTGTGTGTGTGTGTGTGTGTGTGTGTTTTGCTATAGCTTTATCAGTCTCATATGGTTTGTAGAATTTCAAGACACTGTACTTACCTGCAGCAGAATTTTCTTTCCTCAGCAAGTATCTGGCCTCTAAACAAGGATGCTCTGATTATTTGGTGGTCCTCCCCAGAGATGGCACTGGAATTGTTGTCAGAACCTTGGGCCAATCAACTCTCTGGACAAGAAAGGACATCTGCAAGCCTGGCAGAGTCCATGATGTGGTTGGAAAAGCACTAACTCTTTCTTCTTTTGTCCATTGCTCCGGGGTCCCCAGAGCTCCCATCTGCATAGCTTTTACTCCTCATTCTCTTCCTTTTCTCGCCTCCATTCACATTCACCATCTGCTCTGTCCTTCATTTTATCCCTCCAGAGACAACCCAGTCATCCATAGCTACATCTTTCAATAAGGATAACAACAGATGAACACTGAATAAAAATATCTAAGCAAACAAGTTCTTGGACTAAGCCCTGGTTATTAAAACCAAAAAAGGAAAGCATGATCATTTACCATTTATTTTTAATTTGGTAACTTTATCCTGAAACCAAATAGCATACTGAGTTCCTCACGTTTCTTCTTGCTTGCATGAAAAGTCGATTGATAAGGACCTCTGGAAACCAGAGGGAAAGAAAGTACATAGGTTCATAGATCACTGTTAACTTTAATAGGACAGAATTAAGGTTGGTATGAGATGAGAGAAAACGTGATAAAAAAGTCCATCACTCTTTCGGGTTTCTACACATTATTAGCATCAAGGGATACACATATTGGGAGAAGACATTTCTGCTTCCCTTCTGCTTTTTACTTTTTTTTCTCCCTCTCAATCTTTTTTTTTTTAAATCAGAGTCTCACTCTGTCACCCAGGCTGGAGTGCAGTGGCACGCTTATGGCCATTGCAGCCTTGATCTTCTGGGCATAGGTGATTCTTCTGCCTCAGTCTTCCAAGTAGCTGGAACAACAGGTGTGTGCCACCATGCCCAGCTAATCTGATTTATTGTAGAGACAAGGTGTCACCAAGTTGCACAGCCAGTCTTAAACCCCTGGACTCAGACAGTCCTCTCACCTCCACCTCCCAAAGTGCTGGGATTACAGGTATAAGCCACCATGCCCCAGCCTCGCTCTATTTTTGTAATGTGTTAAATGATACTACTACCCTGGTCAATTATCTTTTGCCTGGATTATTGAAATAGCCACAGTACTGGTTTCTCAGCTTCTATCTTTGGCCCTGCAGTTCATTCTCAAGAAAGCAGTCTGAATGATCCTGTCAAAGCACAAGTCAGATCATGTGACTCCCCTGCTTGGAACCCTTCCTTGGCTCCCCATTCCTTGCTGTGGCCCTTGTAATGCACAGTGGGTCCCCGATATTCTGCTCTGACCTCACTTCACTACTGATCTGTTCTTACTCTTCTCCATCAACACTGGCCTTCTTGTTCGATAACGACATGAGTCCCATGCCCACCTCAGGGCCTTTGCACTTGCCTTTCTTGCTGCCTGGAATGCTTTTCCCCCATATGGATACATGACTTGCTCCCCCTTTATGCCTTTCAAATCTTTGACTAAATGCCCCTTCCTTAGGGAGTCCTTCTCAGACTACCCGATATCAAATTGCAACTCTGTTGCCATTTCTCCCACTATTGTCTGCCCTCCTCTGCTTCATTTTCCTTCAAAGCATTTATCAACTTCTGAAGTACCATGAAGTTTCCTTTTTAAAATGGTCTTATCCCAACCCTCCCAAGAATATAAGATCTGATTGAGGGGCAGGGATCTCTATACCCAAGGACAAGTTCTGCCTTTTATAAGGGGCTCAAGAAATGCTTGCTATTGAATGAATGAATTGCAAAGTTGTGGCAGAAACTGTTGGTTTCCTATCTACCCAACAGCAATTCCTCTTTCCTTATTTGCTAGGGACACTGATTTTGTTTGGGGCTACATTGAAATCTGCCATGGGGGTCATGTTGGCTCTAAGCCCATGATAGCTAGATGCTCCTTTATAGCTGATGGTGTCAGTTCTGGCTGATGACTCCTGGAAGAAGTCAGCTTGGTAGCCTCTAAGAGTGATGAGAGAAGGAAGACAACTTCTGGAAGAGACTTTTCTTCAGGATTAAATGCAAAGATTTCATTCCTACTGGGATAAAGATTAAGACTCACATAGGTTTGATGACTAAAACCAGTCAACCTAATCCAAATAGTCAAACTAGTTTTTAAAGGAAATCATGTATTTAAAAAAGCAAAGCTAGATTTACTTGTAAGTATATTCTATTATCATTTTTTGAATGAATAGATGAATTCATTGATTCTGGAGCTGCACAAATCTTCAAATTATTTCCCCTTCGGAGGCAAAAGTTTATGTAGTGTCTTATGTACATTGCTCCAGGAACCCTTTCCTCTTTTAGTGTGGCAGTTCCCTCTGCCACTCTCTAAGACCAACATAAAAAAAACAGGTGACCTTCGAGCTAGAGTTATGAGGCTTTGTTTGCAACTGGGCTCGGTGGCTCAGCCTATAATCCTGTGACTTTGGAAGGCTGAGGTGAGTGAATTGCCTGAGCCCATGGGTTCGAGACCCGTCTGGGCAGATGAGACCTCATCTCTACAATAAATCAAAAAATTAGCCGGGCGTGGTAGCGCGCGCCTGTAGTTCCAGCTACTTGGAAGGCTGAGGCGGAAGGATCGCCGGAGCCCAGCAGGCCAAGGCTGTGGTGGCCGAGAGCGGCCACTGCACTCCAGTCTGGGCGACAGAGTGAGACTCCAACTCAAAAAATAAATAAATAAATACATAAATACATAAATAAAAAATGAGGCTCTGTTTGGTCTTTGTGATATCTTGAGTTTCTAAATCAAATGATTGTTGGCATTTGGGAATTGAAGAGTACACATTCAAATACTGATTTCTAGCTTCTCTTTAAAAATGGGAAGATCTGGCAATCATTGCTCAGATTCATCCTTTGGAGCATTTGTCTCCAACTTAGTGGCAATGCCCTGTTTGGATGAGGCAGACCCTGTTGGTCAGAGAACCCTGTCAACCAGCATGTTATCTGCCTGGGTCTGATTGGCATTTGTGGTTGGAGCATCTTGTGTGAGTGTGTATAGACAGAATGACCCCATGTCTGGATTTGCCCAGGATGGCCTTGGAATATGTCTGGTGGATCAGTGTAATTGCCAGAACCCTCCCCACCCTTTTCATTCTGCCCCATTCCACTCTGCAAAGTATGCCAGTTTGGATGATAGATTATCCTATGTATGGAATCGTGAAGGTGCTTGGAGCACTGTTCTGAGGATTTGAGGGCTTAGTTGTGTGCATGAGATTCACATTCATCCTCCTTTGACAATAGATGGTCATAATTACAGGTCTTTACATCATTTGTATCTCTGTGATTCATTCATAAAAGTTTATTTTCATGAACTTTCTTTGA